CTTGGTTCACCAGGATCGTGTCCGTGTATGTCGACACAAACCTATCTGGACAGCTACCGTCATCAATAAGCGACACCTGCAAACACACAACCAGTATGGTTTCCGCCGTCGCTCGTAGATGGCGGCAACCTTAGCAGCTATCATAGAATCGATAGTTGGGCGCGTTGGTGGGAATTCATCTTAGGAAACAGCGCGAAAAACAGGCGACGACGACGAAGCACACAGTGTATCGAGTACAGCTCCGCTGGTCTTCCTTCTTCACGAGAGTGGAAAGGCTGCCGAACTTTCGCCCGAACTTTCCCCGAACGTTTTTGCCGAACTTTCGCCCGAACTTTCCTTCTGAATTTCGGCATGTGCGGAACTCTGCCGAATCTAAAGTTCGGCAGATTCGGTCCATCACTAACTTTTACGGCACAGGTAGTAGACCCCCTAGCAACGACGCTCACGCCGGATTGGCTGCTCGGCAACGTGCGGGAACTTAAATCTCGGATTTGGACAGCGTGTTTATACGGGTGGTTATTATTTGAGTCCGTTCTCGTTTCGACCTTCTCACTTGGCCTTTCTTAAAACAACCATTCTCAAAAAGATATTCTCTCTTGAACCTGTCGCATCTGGTCCTTTCCCGTTTCGTCTTTCACATTCCAACCCTCCTCATTTGGGCCCGTTCTCGTTTTGCTTTTTTCACCTGGCCCTTTTCAAAACGAGCAATGCTATATGCACTCCGGAGTGCAGCTTGGCCGGAAATTGCTATATTCACTACGTTTGTCTCGTATAAATCGAATGATCACAACGAGTTTTCTAAGCGGTGGCATAGCGTAGGGGCAACAAAAAAAAAAAAAAAACAAAAAAAAGTGGCATAGCGTAAAAGTTAAGGTGTCCGCTTCGTACACAAGTGACCGCGGGTTCAAATCGCGGTGGGCCTACTTTTTTTTTTTTTTTTCTTGAACGTTGTTTTGTCGAGGCATTTGGCGATATTTATATTGCTTTTTTGCGATGAACACAAAAATAACCGAATGTTGTCGACGAAACTTATTGTTTCTTATTTACATTAACGACTTACCTACGTGTGTATCCTCTTCTATTAGCTTATTTGCCGACGACTGTGTGATATATCGTGAAGTTACTAATGAATCCGATTCACTCCTCCTCCAAAATGATTTGTGTGCTGTATCCCAATGGTGTGAATTGTGGCAGATGTCCCTTAACATTAACAAGTGCAAGTCTATGAGAGTTTCTCGTCGTCACACGTTTCTTCCACCTCTCTCAATTTGTAACACTCAACTTCAGTCTGTGACCTGTTACAAATACCTGGGTGTCTATATTACCTATAACATGTCATGGAAAACCCACATTGACCACATTATTGCTAACGCTAACTCTATGCTCGGTTTTCTAAAAAGAAATTTTACACTGGCCCCCGTTTCTTTGAAATTACTGCTTTATAACTCCCTGGTCCGGTCAAAATTAGAATACGCTGCTGCAATCTGGGATCCCGGTCACTCGACACTTATAACTAACCTGGAAGCCATGCAAAATCGCGGAGTTCGTTTCATACTTTCTAACTATCATCGTACAGCAAGCGTTTCCTCCATGAAACTCAGTTTATCCCTACCCTCTCTCTCTTTACGTCGCAAAATATCGCGCGTGTGCCTCTTTTACAAGATCTATCATTCTAACACGTCATTGAAAGATAAACTATTCCTTGAGCCCCCATTCATTTCTCCGCGTTTTGATCATCCATTCAAAGTTGGTGTCCCTCATTGTAACACATCAGCCTTTTTGAACGCGTTTATTCCAAAAACATCTCTTGAGTGGAACCACCTTCCCGCTTCGTTTGTTAATATACCTTCAATTGATTTATTTAAAAAAACCTTATCTGCTCACCTTTTGTCGTGATTGTCCTTTTGTTTATTTTTTGACCAGAGTGCTGTGTTTCGAGCTGTTGATGTTTATTCTCGGCTGTGTTTGCTCTCTTTTTGTACCCTTTTTTTTTCATTTTTTGGTTGCCCCACCCCCTCTGTAATGCCTTTTGGCCCTGAGGGTATTGTAATAAATAAATAAATAAATAAATAAACTTCGCAGACTTCGCAGATCGGGGACAGCGGGGCTTGGGTTGCCGGCTGGACGCCGCGAAGCTGCGTGTACTGGTTAACTTTTCTAATTAGCAGCCGCCTACTGTCGCCGCGAAGCGGCGTGAACGCAGGCGGGGGGCTGTGTTAACGAGCTCCCCAGTGATACACGCGCAGTTAGAAAAAGGGTGGCCCGAGCGGCATGAGCTCTCCGTGTAGTGCGTATGGCAATTTCCGTCCAAAGTGCACTACGTAGTGCATATAGCATCGCTCTTTCAAAACAGCCATTCTCAAAAATATCTCGCTTTGACCCGTCGCACTTGACTCTTTCTCTTACAAAATCGTTTTTTAAGGTAATATTATGACATTGATATAATTTGTGTGTGTGCGTGTGTGTGTGCCACACTACAGAAATACTCTCTCTGCTTAGGATTTTAGCAGTGCGTCGAGGTCGTCATGAAAAGCTACTAGCTGACAACAAAACAGACCAACTATTTATCGCAGCTCGATCATATTCCGAAAAGTCACGTTGTTTGAGGTCTCTCGACTTGGGACAATGCCACCACTTCTATAATGCAGTGGTTCTCAAAAGGAGGTCTGCGAAGACATCATAGGGGTCCGCGAAGCCCTGTCTCAACAGTCAGGCACGGCAATATTAGTTGTCTTTCTTCACGTTGAGAAGAACGTTCCAATTTTCGGGAGTAGTCTCGTGTGTAAGTCAATGAGGTAAGTCTACTTTACACTAACAATTAGTTATACCCACTTATTAAATCATTATCACGTTAACCTATACCTTTCTATTCACCTCACCCCGAACGGGGTCCCCCATCATCTCCACCTTTCTACAAGGCGTCCGCGAAACATCAATGGTTGAGAACCACTGCTATTATGTATGCTATTTCTGTTGGAACGAAGTTTCCAAATTAAATGTTCATCACTTTTTTTTCTCGTTTGCTGGGAGAAAGGGAAGCAGCGACGATGCACGATTCTCAGTGCGTACCTCTACACATAACATATATCTGATGGTATGTTGGGGGCCCAAGCAAGGCAAGGCTCATCAACAAAGCCGCGAAGGCATAACGACGTTAGAAGCATGCCGAACTAGTGCCATTCGGTCGTAGCGCGAACGGGCGAAATGAGAAAGGGTCCAGTTGCGAAAAACACGATTCGGATCTTATGAGAAGGTTCAAACGAGAAGGACCAAATGAGAATGGGTCGAAATGTGCAAGGTTCAAATGCGAATGGGACGTTTTGAGATACACCCGTTTATACAGCCCGCCCCCTCCCCCCCGCCTGCGTTCACGCCGCTTCGCGGCGACAGTGTGCGGCTGCTAATTACAAAACTATTAACCCACTTCCCCAGACTTAGTTAGAGCCACGGGCTTCGATGGCGACAGCCCCCCGGTCATCGGGACACCATTGCTCGGTTACAGGGTGCACGAATAACGACAGAAAGCGTCTAATACTGTCCGAGGACCTATGTATACCTTGGACGGAATCCGGCCAGTGCGGCTGCAATGTCTGTAAACTCCATCGCTTTCCACATGACCCCGATATCGGGCTGCTGCCGGGTTGCGTCCGTAAACCGAAAAGACGTTTCCTCAACGCCATCTTCTCGACTGGGCCCCGAACATCTTGTGAATGGAGCGCGCACCGAACGCTGTACCGCCGATGAACATGAGGTACGCTCGCAAGGTATGTTCAGGTTTTCTCGTGATAATTGCTGTCTCAGCTTGTAACTTTTTGGAACTGAATTTACCTTAATAGCGATATTTCGAAGTGGTGACACTTGCTCAATTCTTCATATACAACACTTAGTTGAAGGCAAATTTCCACCGCTGGACGTGGTTGGAAATTGTCGAACAGTTAGTGCTACCGGTTTTCCTGAATCGCGATCTTTTTCGCGATACCAGAGAGCCGTGAATCTATGCTGGCCGTCACAACGCAACTAGATTCTTCTTGTTTTAAAAATTAGTACACAATGTAGCTGGAAAGAAACCTTAAATTTCTTTTGATCAAAGTTGAAACATCCGAACTAAGGGAGTGGAAGGACGTGATTCATGCTTTCGCATTCACAACTCATAAGAAGTGCTTAGGTATACCTCAAGCCTTTTTCCCCCCCAGAACTCCGTCTTGTGTGATGTCATTTGTTGCTTCTTTGGGACCAATTTCTATGCATGGGCGCAACAGGAGGCTAAACACACCAGTAGGACACGCGTTTTTGGCACCTTCGTGCGGGGGCACCTGGGCTGTAGCCGTAGATCTTTTATAAAACGCCGCAAGGAACAGAGAATTCTGCCAAGTTCGCGCCGCGAGTCATTTTCATTCTTCGGCATTACAACTTTTCAGGTGAATTTGAGTAGCTTTAAGAGGGTGAATATTGACCTCTGAACACGCCTGAGGGAGTAAATTTCCTCAATGAAACCCGTTAATTTGGTAAAATATTAAGTCAGAGATAACCATAAAAGGATAAATTGATGCCTTGTGAAAAACCCCTATCGCTGAGGCGTCGTTTCTAGTCCAACTCTGTGTAAAAGTTTGCCGATACTCACGAAGTTTTTTTTTTTCCGTAGGCAATTGCAAGAACTAAGCTGAGCATAATAGGAGTGGTGAGGACAAACGAAAAATAATATCACGGTTCAAAGCACACCTTTAAAATATATTTAGTCAGCGAGTCCTCATTAACGTTTGACTTGATTAATCAATTCTAATTTGGTTCTTGTGTGTTCTTACTTGGGCAATGTGGTGCAGTATTTTAGGTTGTTAAATTATAAGGAGGTGGCATTGACTGCCCCTTCCCGTCATTCTGAAGCTGCTAAGAATCTTTGATCATTAATATTTAGTCACTGTTCAGAAGACAAGTGAAATATGATGCGAAACCAAATATCTTGGAGTCAGTTTTATAAAACACATTTTATTGGTTTTATTCTTTTAATTCTTGGGTGTCTTTCTTCTAGGATCACGTATGCAGTTCCCAGATAGACATATCTATATGCAGTGAAAATAAACAAACACTTGTGTTTTAGTGAATGAGAAAATTAGAAAATAATTTTGTACATAAACATAGAACAGTTCTTTGAAAAGAAGCACGGCATACTCATGAATGAAACACTTCTAAACGCTTCGCATATATCAAACTGTTATACAAAACTATTTGGAACAATATAGGTAAGATACGGTTAAAGTAGCATACTATACTTAATTTCTTCTAGGTATTTCTCATTTGGCAGTTGTCGCTAAAATTACGCTTAAGAAAGTGTAATACAAAATGAGTTATCTTAGCAAGGGACTAAAATGATAAGGATTTTAAAAGTTTAATTTTCGAAGTGGAAACTATTTATGAGAAGTGCTATACAAAGTTTAATATGTCATGATCGTCATCATGTTATGATACGTCGCAGTGTGGCTATTTTAGTTTTTGAAGCTTTCCCAATGGTTCATGCGTTAACGATATATTATTCAATATCAAATGGGTCACATAATGTGTCAAACACTGACTTTTCTAAATTTATTTATCAATACTGCAGATTCATTTGAGTTCGAAAAGGAGGTGCGCAACAGATGAACATTAAAAGACACGAAGAAAAAGCATCAATAACAGCGATATAACAACGCATAATCACAATATATGACCTAGCCTTTTGATTGTAGTTTACTTATCTTTTGAAAATGGTTATTGTGCAAGTAGCTGGGTTATAAGATACTCCCATAAACGCAGAATTTTGTTTCTTAAATGTTTTCTGGCAGAGCAGTTTTTATAATGACATACATGTCGAGATGAAGCTTCACAAATTCAAGCGTGAAAAAGTTGTTATAAATAAAAAGAATAAAGGGCACACGTTTATATAGGGTTGGAGTATATACAATTACCTTTTCTGTTTCACACTGTGTTCCATCAGCTGAATTTGTCACGTAGCCTTGTTCTGTTTGATCTGTTCCGTTGCAACACGTTACTTTGCAAGTGGCCTGATATTGATGTTTTAAATCTGACTCATTGCTTATCTATATAAAAAAAAACACAAACAAAAACATTACTTGAAGCGTGACATATAGTCTTGCTTTCAATTAAAACGTCAAGTGAACACATCCTTCGCATTTGACTCGACTAAGACATAAAGAACAAAAAAAAAAAGCGTTTTTTTTTTGTAGCGAGGACGGTCACTAGTAATAAGTTGGGCAAGTTAATTGAGCACAATAAAAAAAAAAAAAACTTCAAACAGCGCTAAAATCCAAGAACAAAGTAGACGAAACAAGTGTTGATAATATTTGTGGAGAAGAGCGATTTCACGAAAAAGACCGCTGTAATAATTGCGATGTGCTGCATGTTTTTCATGAGATGTTTAGACAGTCAGTGCATGTTTTGTTTACTTCTTCAACCTTGTACTTAGTTTGCACTCAAAGACTGTAAGTAAAGAAGAATTTATATTTACTTCTGGTATTCGTGCTCGGAGGAATGTACTTGAAAGAATATTTCTGAACTTCGCCAAAAACCACCCGACTGTATCGAGCACAGCAATTTCTTGAAAAATAACTTTTATACTTCTGCCATATTTTTTATTCCGCCTTCACTCCTTAAGGGCGGTTCAAACATACTCGGAATACGGAACCCGGGAGCCGGAACCCGTACTGACGTAATCACTTCCGGCTCCCGTTTACGGGCGCTGACGTCACGGTTTGGTTTGAACGGCGCGCGACACGGGTCTCCGCATACGGTAGCTGACGCCACGGCGGCTCCCCAGGCAACCAATCAGCGGCTGTCGTCAAGCCCGGTCGTCTCCCGGGCGGCCCGGGCAGCCCGGGTTGTGCCCAGGGTTGCCAGGTTGGGCTATAAATAGCCAAATTGGGCTAGTTTTATTTGCAGTTGGCGGGAGAAAATTGTAGTTGGCTATTTGGCTAGTATTGGGCTGTTTCTAACCTGTGCATTGGGCTATTTCTGACCTGTGCATTGGGCAATTTCTGATCTGTGCTGGAACCAAAATGCCTGAAAGCACTTGGGTTTATAGGTTCAAATGTGTTTTTTAGAGTAGATAGATAGTCTTTATTTGACCCTGGAGGGTCGCAGCACCACAGAAATGCCATTGGCCTGTACCTGAGGCCTGTGGTGCCGCATTGTAACAGGAACTTAACACAACAGTAACAAGGGCATTAACGGTAATTAATGTTTAACACAAAGTTCATATGTAGGGCTCCGTGTTTTCGGAGTTTATTTTTCGTGAAATTCGGAGGGTGTTTTTCGGAGTTTATTTTTTAGCGGAAATTCAGTGTTTATCGGAATTTATTTTTGTAAATCCCCAATTCTCCGAAATTCGGAGAATAATTTCGCAGCGTTTCTTATTAAAAATATTAAATAATAACCGAATGCAAACGTATGCCAGGTAAAAAATAAAACGCGCTTGTATCAATTAAGATTTCTTCAGTTGAATTTGGCGTTGGTGTCATTGGCAATACTAATTTGTCCCACGACAAAAGTTGCACACAAGTGTGGATTCGATAAACGTCGATACCTTAAAATCAATAAACTACCGGAGTTAGCCGCAAGGAAGCTCGTAGTCATCCCATAAATCTATTCCGCAGCCGCGCGAGGTGGAGTGCTTATGGATGTAATTCAGAAGTTTCAACTGCCCCTCTTCCCTATTTTATACAATCTCTATGGTCCATAGCTTTCACTGTTACCCCCAGAAACATACCCACTCCTTTCTCTAAATCGAAAATCCCTTGGCCCAAACTGGAAACCAAAAGAGTGGCTCATGTCGTGATACGAATGGTACGATGACCTGTTTCCCTGAACCAACCTTGACGAGACAAGCCGTAAGACCCCCTTTTAAAAACGGTCCGAGGCTTGAAAGATAATTATGGTGTCTTTTTCCCAGGACCATTCATCCTGCGGGGCTCAAATCGGGGGGGGGGGGGGGGGGGGGGGGGTGGCATGGGCACATAACAATTCGGAGTTCATCGGATAAATCCGAATTGACAAAAATTTTACCGGCATATGTTTTTCGGAGTTTTTCGGATTTATCCGAAAACACGGAGCCCTAGTCATATGGGATGATCCGTGTCAGTCCGAAAAGGAGGTGTCCGTCACTGCCGGAGGAAGTCTAATGCCTCCTTGCACCAGGCTTTCATGTCCTCTTTCTCTTGGGGGGCGCTTCAGTCCCTTAACCCTGATAAGTATGCGACAGCAAACAAATTCGTCTTCTTTTTGCGCGCCTTGTGCAATTGTCTACCTCCGAATTTTGTCCGAATGCAAGCATGTGTTGTTATTCCTCATCTCAACAAGTGACGGCGCGATTCCCTGCGGCCTTAACAGCTCCTGTTCTGCTCATTCTTTAGGTTGTTTCTTGTTTGGCTTGCACCTATACTTTGTGTTTAATTCTGCATAGTTCTCCCGTGACCTCATTCTGGTCATCACGCCCCGATAGTAGCGTCCCAATACAGTGGAAGGTATGTTGTCACGCGCTTGTACGAGCGTTTCAGGAAGTTCGCCGAACGTGCAAGGGACGCCATTTCTGGGGCATTTGTGGGATAAAAATGTATTATGTGACTTTTGTGCTCAAAATAAACGTTTCAAAAGATAAGTTTGTTTGTTTGTTTTTTAGAGCGCAGCTCTTAGGGGCCCGTTCCCGGCTTGAGCGGCGTCGCCGTCGGCGTTGGCGTCGCCGTCGCCGTCGGCGTCGGCGTCGCCGTCGCCGTCGGCGTCGCCGTCGCCGTCGGCGTCGGCGTCGGCGTCGGCGTAACCAAGGTCATCCCAAGGTCACGTGACCCCCAAGGTCACGTGACCCCTCCCAAGGTCATCTAGAGGTCACGTGACCCCAAGATGACCCCACGTGACCCTTTGAAGGTCACGTGACCCCCAAGTCACGTGACCCCTCTGAGGTCACGTGACCCCCGAGGTCACGTGGTCGCCTCCCCAAGGTCACGTGACCCCCGAGGTCACGTGACCCCCAAGGTCACGTGACCCCTTCCAAGGTCATCTCAAGGTCACGTGACCCCACGTGACCCCCCGAGGTCACGTGACCCCTCCAGGTCACGTGGGGGTCACCTTTGGGGTCACGTGGCCTTGAGGTCACCCCCAGGTCACGCCTCCCCGAGGTCACGTGACCCCCTCCCCGAAGTCACGTGACACCCCCCCGGAGCATATTAAAGAATGAGGGGAGGAGGAGGAGAAGGGGGAGGGGTCTACCCTCCCCTCAGTACCCTTCACTCCTCCTCCTCAAGAGCTGCGCTCCAATTCGGCGTTACAGGGATTTGTAAACGGCTTTCACTTTTTTTGGGCTATTTTTGGGCTATTTTTCTGGATCGACACTTGCTATTTTTGGGCTATATCCCGTAGACGTTTGGCGGGTTGGAGTTGAAACACCTGGCAACCCTGGAACTTGTGCCTGTAGCCCGGGCGCGCGACGCGCTCCGTCTAGAGCGGCACGGCGGCAACGGCGGCACCGCGGCACTCGCTTTGTTTCGTGATGGCGTCGTCTCGGCAGGATCCCGGCTACGAAGCTCGAATTGCCTCACTTATGAACCTTTGTGTAGTGAGGTGCGTCACAAATGCAAGAACTATCACCTGGCGTCGGCTGACTACTTCGCGGCTGCGTGTGAGCAGTACCTACGGTGCGTGAAGAAAAAGAAGAAGCGAAAGGCCGTCCGCGAGCTCCTGAAGCCTCGAAAAATGCTCGACGAGTATGCCACCATCGTGAGACTACAGTCCTTCAGTGTTGTGAGACAGATGTTCGAAGACCCCGACGGCCGGGAATTCTTTGAGTGCTTCCGAATGTCACGAGCAAGGTAGGGTGTGCTGCTTTTTATTTTGGATTATTTTCATGTTATATATCGAGTGGCGTTCCACATGGGCTCGCGCGTCGCTCGCAGGAATACTCACCTGGAGCGTGCGCTCCCGCAGTGAAAGCACGTTTATATCATTTTTAACGCGGCAGGATCACGAGAGCAGCTTTCGTAACAGTCACATGCTTGTCAAATTTTACTGCGTCTGTGCTATAAAAAAATAGCAATGGCATGCACATGTGCAGCTCGTACGACACACTCTCTTGGTCCACAAAATCTGGGCACGGTGTTGTGCTCCTTTGAGTGCATGTATGAGGGAAGCCCGTTGGGCTTCCTTGTCCTTTGTGCTAGCTAGGATGTGTGCTGAGAAGCTTTCTGCACGAAAGCTCGCGCTGCAGAACCCAGGGATCTTGGGTTCAATCCCCACCCCTGCCCGTTTCGATCTGGATGAGCATCGTACCAGCAGACCTTCGTGTTTCACTACTGCGTGACGGGTGTTAAAGACCCTAGGGTAGCGGTCTTTAACACAAGTGTCGGATGTACCTCGCACGCACAATGGTTGCAGCTAGGCACGTAGCCAGGATTTTGTTTCGGGGGGGAGGAGATTTTGTCGGTCGCAGAGTGCCCGAGGCTGGTAAAACATTGTGTATATATATATAAAAAAAAAGAAAATGAACAAATGAGTTGCTTCATTATAATTGTAGTGAACAAGCATGCCCTAAAAGCTGGAAGCTTAGCACATTTGCTTATTAACAACATCCCACTGCCTTTCCGGTCTCTTTGCAGCCAGCAAGCCAACCAGTGCCTGCCTCTACAAACGGCCACTCATATTTGCATTGAAGATGCCGTTTCATCGGGTTGCAACCACCTCCCATGTCTCCGAAACCGTGTCAATAAATTATTAAAAGACGTATCGAGTTCTTTCACTTGTCCCGGTCCTTGTGGTCGCTACGATACCTGTCGTAGATCCAGGGATACCGCTGAGCTAGCTGAACTAATCCATAGGCTTTCTCGGGTACGTCAAACGCAGCGGCACTCTTCTTTGCAGCTTGAGCGAGCTGCTTTCCTCGCGTCGGAGACGGGCAGGAAGTTCATCGCCGGAGCTTTCCTTGCAAGCAAGCACGGAGCGACTGAGGCATTCGCACGCGGAACCACGTGAACGCCGGTGGCAAGAAGGGCGGAGGAGGGAAGCGCGCCGCGCTGATTGGCCGCGGAGAAAATACGGA